AGACCTTGTCACAATTTTTAAGAAGGAGACTGTCAAACAGAGGTAACTATACCTATGAAATAGCCTTTTCCTACACTGTCTCTTTGTCTGAATTCTCTGTGCTCATCTCCAGTTGAGCTGTATGGACACATGGCATTTTCTGTCTCTGCTTCTCTACATTTTCTCTGCAGTGACAATCGGCATCCCCCCGAAGCATCTCCAGGGTAAAGAAACTGCTAATCACTGAAAATACCCTGGGACGCCATGAAGATGAAAGAGTAAAAGAAACAGCACTTAGAGTCCCTGCGAGAGATTAGCTTTGTCTCAGCCAATATCACATGTGGTGAAGAGTTAAGAAAGGCATCAGATTTGCTTACTGCTTCCACCTGGGTTGAGTGTAATGAGGACAGAGCAGGCAGACACTGATGGTGTGAAATGTCATCCATGTAATAATTGATTGCAGAGTCTACTGCCTGCCCTAGACACAGCATGGGAGAAGTCAGAGCCTGACACCTGAGGGGCTTTTTGTGGGGCCGATGTAGTATAACCATGCCATGAGGAGTGCCTGTCTCAAAAAGGCCACATTCCACGTTTCCTGACCTTCCAGGCAGGCTCTGTAAGTCCACCACCAATCACATTTGCAGAGTCTTTGAGCAGATGCCATGACTTTCACCATCAGACTACTGCTCTGTCAGAGTAGAATCTCGATAGGGAGGAGATCCAGGGGTCTAGGAATGAACTTGCCTCACAGCCTGGCTGTGGACCTTCAGGAAACCCCAGGGTCTCAAGAGGTTCTGTAGAGGGTTGGAACTGCTCTATGTTCTAGCTTCAGGAACAAACTTTCTCCCAAGGAATTCTCTTCCAGGACCGACTCTGAACATCAGGACTCCCATGATGCCAGGCAGGTGAGTGCAGCTGTCGTGTCTTTCACTTCTCACCATTCCCAGGAGCCATGCCTGAAGAGCGAGGGTGAAAAACAACACATTTATGCTAATCCTGGGGATGGTTGGATGTTTGGGTTTGAGGACTGAAATTTCAAGATGGATGTGCTGGGGGGTCCTAGCTGCTCATTTTCTTGCAGGACCCTCCTGAAGACTGTCTTCAGAGCTGAGACAGACTCTGTGGTCTCTCCGCAGACTAAGATCCTCCTGTGTGAGAGGACCATAAAAGCCAAGCAGTAAAACCTGTATAAAGATGGATGCTCATATCCATGGTATTCAGCTATTTCATTGTAGCCTTGGAGCTAGGCTGAGTTCAC